GTCGTCGCTTACGATCCGTTGCAGGCCGCTGCGCAGACAGGTACTCAGTTCGCTCACGAACCCTCGAACGTATGGGTGATTCGCAAGCAGATGCGGCGAAAACGCGCTGGTCAGGAAGATGAGGTGGTGGTCCTGGCGACATTCTTTGTGGTGGGGGATTGTATCTACATGGCTCCATCGGTTGCAAGTGTCGTTGGTAACCGCATCGTATGTTTACAATGGTTCTATTTCTCTCGCTTGTGGAAAGGCATGGCTGACCGAATTGCATCAGCTCTCTGCTGTCACATCCCTAACCAGTCTACTGAAAACCGCATCGACGTTGCCGATCTTCACCCCGGCCCATGGACATACCTATCTACCGCCAGCTCCGAAACCGACTGAAGCCGGTCAACCTGGCGTTTCGTCTCAGCAGAGCAAGGAGAACACACCCATGCCCGATGCAGAGAACCCGGCCAGAGTCCCGCTGGTGGGTTCGCAGACGGGCAACACTGCTTCTACATTCCAGGATACGAGGACACTCGCTGAATCGCTAAATCTGTTTCTCAGATATGAGGACGAGTACATGGATGAGAATCCGTTGGTCGGCGAGCCTGGATCGTTTATCATGTCCAAGGCCAATGACGTAGATCGGACGGCGACAGCAAAACAGCCGCCAAATACGATCCCTACCAAGATGGGGACTCCATTGGTGAGAGTGGATACACCAGGAAAGGTGACGGAGAAGGTCGGCACTCCATCTAGCTCTGATGAGAGTAGATTAAAGAAGAAAAAGGGCCGAGTTGGCGGTTGAGTCATGTGTTCCCGCCATTGCATTATACTTCTACAAGATACCCCAATGCTGATCTTACATTTATATGACTATTTGTAAATGAAGCAAGCACAGTGCTACATTATCAGATTTAGATGAAGTTAGGACAGGTGGCAGTACAGCAATGCTGACCATTGCATCCAGAAATGAATTTGATCAAGCAATGTATAGCTAGGCTGCAGCAACTTATCGCGAAACCCACTCTGGAAATGACTCATAAGGCAGCAAGAGAACATGGTCAAGCAATGATCCATAGTCTAGACATGGTTAGAATCTCGTAATGATATCCGAATGAAAGAAGATATTATTGTTCTTTGGTCTTTCTGACTTGGCTGATCCTAAGGCTGTGGAATGTAACCTGCTTATCCGCAGGATATATTTATAGTCACCCGCTTAACAACGATTGTCTCTCAGTTACACTGGACATATCTCCTTTCATTCATTCATAGCATTATAGCATAGATCCTTCAATCAGTAACAACCATAGCGATGACCATGGCTACCACACAACAAGACAAGCCTACAGTCGTCTGTGTCTTGTAAGCTACCCCTCCCTTCACCACCATCCACCGGGAACGTCACTCCCAAGCAACAAGCTTCCCACCCCATCTATGGCAAAAGCTGATTGACACAATGCAATTCTCTCCAGCTGCGGCTCAGTGGCAGGCAATGACCCCGTGCACATGGAAACCGCGCGCGCCCTCGCCCACGAGTTCCACAAGAACAACGTCCAGCTCGTCTACGGCGGCGGCACAAAGGGCCTGATGGGCGAGCTGGCGCGCACGCTCGTCTCCCTGTCCGGCCCACAAGCCGTCCACGGCGTGATCCCCCGGGCGCTCGTCCGCGTCGAACCAGGCTACGACAACAAGCGGGAGGGAGAGAAGCCCACGGAGAGCAGCGGGAAGAGCGCCGAGCGGACCATCAAGGAGCCGCTCGACAAGACCGCTCTGCTGGGCGAGTCCGAGTACGGGATCACGACGATTGTGCCGGACATGCACACGCGGAAGCGCCTTATGGCTGAGAAGGTCATGGCGGGGGGTCCCGGTTCGGGCTTCGTGTCGCTAGCGGGTGGGTTTGGCACCATTGAGGAAGTCATGGAGATGACGACGTGGAATCAGCTGGGTATTCACCATCTGGGGATCGTGTTGCTGAATATCAATGGATATTGGGACGGGCTGTTGTCGTGGGTGCAGAGTGCCGTTAAGGAGGGCTACATTGGGGCGGACAACGGCAAGATTCTAGTCGAGGCGAAGGATCCTCGCGAGGTTCTGCCGAAGCTGCTGGAGTACCGCGTTAGCAATGGCAGGATGGACCTGGATTGGGGCCAGGAATGAGTTCAGTCCAAACGGGATTGTTCTATCTTCGGCTAGAGGACTGTTTTGACTAGCAGCTCGGATACATGATGGGATGAAATAGACCTAGACGATTGATGCAAAGCAAGAGATACTACTATTACGAACTGGTGGCATTAAGTTTTGCACGATCCGTGATGGATCCAAAATCCCACAACCATATCCCGAAGTCAGATCGTACTGCCGAAGATACCGGAGTACAGAATAAGCATAGGGAAGCGGATCCACAAGAAGAGGAAAGAGATCAAGCTTGCATATCTATCGCGTTAACATCCAAAGGGAACTATGAATCGACCTCCATCGACTCCTCTTCTTTCGTCTCTCCGGAATCTGTCTGCTCAAGAGCTTCCAGCAACGGCGAGATGCTCTGGCCATCATATAACTTGAAGGTCTCGATCTTGCCCGTAGCCCCTTCTCCAGCAAGGCCCACCACGCCAACAGATGTGTTTTCCACCGTCAGCTCCTTGTCATGAGACAACGTTTCTTTCAAAGCCCGAAGTCCGTGGCTAATCAGCTCTTCCCGGCTGCAGTCGGCGAACTTGTCCAGATTCCGCTCCAGGTAAGTCCGCGCCATTTGCGAACGAGCCCCGATGGCGCAAGCAAGCATCTCTTGAATCATGCCGGACGGCTGAAATTCGAACAGATGGGGTCCAGCCTCGTCGACACCTGCAACGAGCAGACCGACACCGTACGGTCGCTTGCCATACTGCTGAGTGTTGGTCTGGGCGCGATCGCCGATTTGAGTAACGATACGATCCACTGGCAGTGGGCGGCCGTAAGTCATTCTGGAACCAAGGCACTGTTGCTTCATGTAGTTGGAGAGCACACGAGCGTCCGATGCCAGACCGGCGATAGCAATGCCCATATGGGAGTCAACTTCGATGATCTTCTTCTGATAGGAGGATAGTTCTTCGGCGTTTCGCTAGAAGATAACAATCAACCCGTATTAGCATACAGCTGTCCTCTGCGATGGTAGCAAGTAGTAAATCTGAAGACTGTTCGAACCTTTAGACCGACCAGTACGGCATGTGTCTTGTTGACAAGTCCTACGACAACTGATCCTTGCTTGACTGCTTCCTGTGCATATTCAACCTGGAATATCCGGCCTTGCGGCGAGCTGTCCCAATCAATGGTTTGTCAGTTATGAGAAAGCTTTATATCATGGATAGGATAGCTCGGTGGGCCTACAAGGTGACCGCATCGTTGTCGTAATTGTTTCTGAACATGATTGCGGGCTATGGTTGAGGAGGGAGTGTAGTAAGAAGGATTCGGTCTTGGTAGAATATTGATCCTGTGAAGCTCAATAGCAACAGGAAGAGATGGACAAAGATTGATGATGCAGAGAGGGGGGAAGAGAAACAAGCAGTATCGAAGCAGGCTGTGAGCGACTGACGCGGTAACCTTCAGCAACTGTCAGTAGTAAGGGAAGCTCTCCGCCTGCTGGGTAAGCTCGGGCCTGTGTGCCTGAGGCTGCCAATAATGCCCCATTGCCAACGTCACCTCCACAGCTGCAGCCGTGCCGCTAGCTCACGCTTATCACTCAAACCGACCCAGACCGTCTCGATGCAGACAAAACAGTTCCTGTGATTTAGATCATATCTGCTATCTGGAGACAAATTGCTGCTGGCTCTGTTTACAGAGAACGAATCCCTTATATCTCACCTGCCTTGGGCCCTTCGAGGTCCTGTATCTCCGCAATCATGATGGCAGGTCTCAAGACTATTATCGCTCTCTCTTTTGTGAGTCCCTCATTAGTTATTATTGCTTTGGTGCCGCGTTGTACTGATCCAATACCCTTACTGCTTAGGTTCTTGCCATTGGCTTTCTTCTGGTCATCCTCTCCTCCGCTCTTTGGCATAACTTCCTCCCGTTGATTGTGGTTGCGACATATGTCATCGCTCCTCTACCGAACTGGATTTGCGCTCGATGCGCTAATCCGGATGATTTCATGGACAGTTCTGGCAATGCAGTAGCTGATTTTGGGCGTTTCTTGACTGGTTTCCTAGTGTTGATGGGTATTGGTAAGTTTATCGAGCCTACTGCCATCCTCTTTCTTCTGTCGCATTTGCGTCTCACGGGATACCCTCATTATACTCATTATATGCCTTGCAAATATTTTATCATATGACTGGTGTCTAATGCGGATGACTCTAGCCCTGCCGGCCGTGCTTGCGCATAGCGGCGCTATCCAGATCCCTGCCATGATCATGTCCATCCTCGGAGGTCTTCTGATTTACGGCACTATCATCAGTTTCTCGATGTTCTTCAGGGAACAAGAGGAGTTTTGATCTCTGTAAAGTGTCAGCTGCAACGGGGAACGCTCGGGGGGAGGATACGTTTTCTACGAAATCATTCCAGCAGATCGTTCATAAACCTCTGTGAAGTCCGAGGGCACTGGCTCATCACAAGTGATGAGTTGTTTTTTTCCCGCTTGATTTGACCTACGGTTACTCTTATGTGAAGTTTCATGAACTGCAGCCTGTTTCATTTGACTCTGCTTTTATCAGCGATACGAACGGTGTACTATAGCCGATGCGAAGTTATATAGAGCATTGCCACGGTATTTCTTGGATAATAGCCCTAGCTGGACTTGAGCTTCGATTATCGTTTTTAATTTCATGCAATATGTTCGCACTGTATTGATTTCTAGACATAATCGACTAATTAGTTCAAGCTGACGGAGTATCCGGCACGTGACCTCGCGCCTGTATCCAGATCGCGTCGTGTTGCAAGTGGAAACCTCACACTACAGCAACCTAGCAAAGTGCGTCTGTATCTGTACCAGCGAAATCTTTACATCGGCAAGATATGTGATTCTCGGGCCTTATAAATATTCTACAATGGACATCTGGTCTGGATCCATTGCGCTGGACAGGCAATCTCTGCTTCGAGGTACCGCTTCACGCGTCTGAATCATCTGCTTTGCGCGCTGCTCACTACCGAATTCACAGGTTTACGTCTAGTCGACCAGACATCGAATTGGCAATCGGACACACTCAAAGACTCAAATTTGGCCTTTCGCTGCTTCGTTAATCCCACACTGATACCCTTTTACACGAGAACTGGACCGAGCCTCGAGGTACACACAGCTGACGTCGAAACATCACAATGGCTTAAGAGCAAATTGCTGGGCAACATATGGTTGGAGGAGGAGGAACTAGAAAAGTTCCAGACGTTTCAATGTCCGGTTGGAATCCTTCTCAGTATCAACAGACCACCTCGAACCAAGGCCTCTGGTCTCCTTACAACAGATCTATTGGTCCATGCTGTCCTGTCAAGCGCAGCCTCAGTTGAACGGCCACCTACTCCACCTATCTCGTCTTCTCCCGGACCGTATGAGTATGCATCTCATGTTCAGAAGCAGGAACTGAGAATCTATGCGACCCCGCTCTCTTCGTCCCTCATCACAAAGTCTCAGGCTCTTTGTTCCCATCCGGACGGGCTAGCCAGCGATGGACGATTTGCTGAATTTCTTCCCGACATTCGGTCACCCAGTCCCAAGCGTAAACGAGTTGCTACGCTGTTTGAGACAGCTGCTCAGCATCACAAGAAAGTGCGACAGAAAGGAGGAGAGGCAGTCTCCCAATTGATGGCCAGCTCGCTTTCTCATCCATCCCAGCATCTACAGACTTTCAGAATCAAACGTGAGTCCGAGGAACCGTCGCTGCCTTTATTAGAAAAGATAGCCTTTCAGCGGTCGCGGTCATTGTCAATTGGAGCCAATCTGCATCCCCTCAAAGCGTCTGATCTTCGAAATGAACAGTCCCGACTTAGCAGCCGCAGAAGCCACTTTACTTCGCGGAAGAACACCCCGAATCCAGTGGAATCTAACTCCCGAAGGGAACACTCGACGGCGTTGCCGTCTTCGGACGACAAGCTGGAGCCTTCTGCGACACCTAAGGATGCCGAAACCATTATTTCTGAGAATAAAAATACGATCACTCGTACGATCTTGACATGCATGCGATTGTACGGCTTCAATCGCTCATCGCGACCTACAAGCACAGCCAAAAATGGCACTGGGACCGATTCCGATATGAATTTGTCCACGGAGGTAGGGGCAACTTCTAGTACCGACGAAGATGAGTTCAAAGCGATGTATCATGCAACTTATCGCGCATCAACATTTGCCCTCCGCAAGTATCTGAAGCAATGCTCCAGTACCGACGGGGCCGCAAAGGACATTCCGCCTTTGCTAGACAAAGAAAAGGCAATGACATATATAGACGAGTTCTTGAGGCTATTTTGTGAAGAGGATTGATATCTGTCTGGTACAGATTAATGAGATACGATGTCATGAATAATTGATCTTGAAGCAATTGAGATGGTCTACTTTAGATTCGGGGTCTCAATGTTATGATTCTGAGCTTTTTGTAGATGGCAACTGCCTACCTGACTCACTGTACAGCAGTATTCGCAAAAATAAATCCCACGAATTCAGACTGATTTGTTTCAAATGTCTCTGGCGACATAATCCTTGATAAAGGTAAAGGATGCATCATACGCTTACGCCATATGCCGGATATTATGAATCTCCGAGCTCCGGGCACCGACTGCATCATAACCCCAGATAGCTGTGTCGATCAAGCAAATATACATACTTTTAACGCCTACGGTTGGAGCCATAGCACAGCTACTCGATACCGCATTTTTGACTCCGACAAAAGCTCGCAATGGAAGTTTCCAACAACCGTCTCTTCCGATGGTCCAAGCCTGAATGGCTGAATAACTCGACCGTCCGCAATGCGGGCGTCTACACGTCGGGAGCTCTGGTGAGCTAGACTCCGTCTTCTTAGACGCAACGCAATGCAGCACACGAGTGACTGACTATATAATGCAACCAGTTCTCCCTGGGATTCTTCTTCCTCGTCGATGCGGCCGCGTTCTCACACAGCTCGCGCAACGGGTCCAATGTAAACGTCAAGTTCGTCGACTGGATTCCCGGCATCTGCTCGGCGCTCGGGATGTTGGTGATCAACTCGATTGAGAAGTCGCGGCTGCAGGCGGATAGCTTCAGCTATAGCGGGAGCGGAGTGGCGTGGAAGGCGCGGTTTGTGCTGTTCCTGGGGTTTGCACTTCTGGCGGGCGGTTTGGCGGGGAGTGTGGTTCGTCTCTTCTTTTCTTTGCTCCTGCTGCGGACGTCGAGGACTGAAAGTGCTGACTGGAAATGGAAATAGACGGTCATGGTCTTGAAATATCTGATCAAGCAGTACCCGTTACCGACGCTGTATTTTGGAATCGCCAACGTCGTCGCCAATGGCTTGGTCATGCTAAGGTTTGTTGATGGGTTTCCTGCAGCTACACTTATGTCTCAGCTGCTGATTGATTTGCTACAGTACTATTGTTCTATGGATCTCGCAGAACATAGAGGATGATTACACCTACAACCTCGCGTTGTAGTTACGGACTGATTTTGGATTTTGTGCGTTGTTCGATGTGTTCTGGGTACGAGTGGGAGCTTGTCGAGTGCGTAACCTCAATCCACTATATTGTTTTCCATGGGACTGGCGCACTCGTACTTTGAAGTGTTTTGTACTTTCAGCCTGACATGCCTATGCTCATGTTTATGTTTATACTCCATGAATTGTTCTAGAATTTGGATTGTGAAGATCACGGACTGTTTGCGTAGGGAACATAAGTTGCACTAGCACATTGAAATGGCCATTGGGCGTGTATACAGTGCTCTAGGCATTGGCATAAGGATAACTAGTCTAAGGCTAGGCAGCGAGCTTTCAGATGTTATTTGAAACAGTGAGCATTACGCAAGCTGACTCAAAAAGGGAAGGTGATTTTGTTTTTGTAGTTATTGATCTATATTCTCCATGTACACGTACAACGCACGTGGCGCATGGCTATAAATCTGCACTCAGGCCACATGCAAGCTTCGTCCCTCGAAGCAATGGTCGGAAGTGCAAATATAGCAGCCTAGCGGAGTCATGCTCAACGCTTGACTTCGCGCTGATATACAGATAGGAGGATGACACCCCCCCAAGCATAGCTCGCTCGAATCGGAGCTACTCATGTTTTTATACAACCGAGCCCGGTTGTCGCCCACCGACAACCCAGACACGCGGGGCCACGCGCAGTAATGGCGGGCGGTAGAGACGGCGGTATTTCTGCTTCTATCAGAGCCATTCACCGGTTTGTGAAGTTCACACGTGTGGTAGCATCACAGTGAACGGAGGAGTATGTCTAATTGCAATGCAGACGTAGGTTCACGCGGAGACTTCGGACGGTTGAGCCCTGAGTTTGTCCAGCAAAGCATCGATAGCATCCATATCTGCCGCATCAATCTTTTCTCCGCGAGTATATCCTTCGGGAAGGTGCTTGACGAACTCGTCCATGGCGGGTTGGTAGTTGCGGACTCCGGAGGAGATGGCGTACACTGCCTTCTTGCGAGCGGCGGGTGCCGGGTCTGAGGTGGACATAGCGACGAGGGTTGGGAGGACATTGAAAACGATGAGCTGCAGATGGACCTGTTAGCATTTTTTTTTCCTCAATAGCAAAATAGGAAGCGAGCCGGGAACAAAGCACATACCTTGTCCTGCGCTTTCTCGTTATTCTGCACGGCGGTTCCGATGCACCATGCGGCCATGCGTCTCATTTCGGCTTCCTCGTGCTTGAGCAGTTCCACGAGTGGCGTCCACAGACCCAGTGGCTCCAGATTGTTCGCATTATCGATGGACTCGATGAGCTGTTCGAAGTTATCGAATGCGATCATCTTGTTCTCGAGATCGACCTCGTCCGAGTGAAGCGCTTCCATGGCGGCTTTCATGAGGTCGGCATCCGAGGGACCTCCGAACAGAGCGGAGAGCATCTCCGGGTTCAGATTGCTGCGAGAGGTAGGGGCGGGAGCAGCGCCATTAGAATCGCCGGCCTGCTGGGCTGAGGTTGAGTTCTCGATACTCCATTTGAGGAGATTGTTCATGTTGGGGTCCATGGTTGATGATCTGAAAGTGATTTGCTCTACGGTTGAAAACTGCGATCCCTGGAGAGTGTGCTCAGAATATACCTTAGCAATTGACGTATGACGACGATATATTCAGATATTAGATTGAAATTCAATCGAATGGATTTGAATTGAATGTAATGTAATCTTTATGACGAAGAAAATGTGTCAGGATAATTTTCTGATCGCTTTATTTTGGAGTACTTCTCTAGATGGGCGGCGGTATTGTTCTGACGAATCGAGATGATTCATGGACGTTCCACCCGTTTCCACACACACAGCACGACACCAGTAAGAAAAGAATTGTTGCATAGAGTGATTTGTTTAAGGGCGGATTCTACATTTTGGATTGACATTTGAGGGCGTACTTTTTAAGGTCAACAGTATACCTTCGCTGAAGATCGTTAATATAGGACAATGTGATGGCTGTTTAAAACTTGCTCTTCTGGAAGCTGCCCCGCCATCCGCCGCTTAACCCCGCGATGAGGTATGGCTGAAAATTGGTATGGTCACTAGCGGTTCTGAGAACGATGTCTTGAATGTTGGAATCTGAAGAAGATTTTTGAGTGTGCCTCTTCAGTTTTCTCAAGTATACAAGATGCATATGAGAAGGGATTGAATCTCCAACGTTGCCCCTGTTCAATGGAGGATCTGACGTCCTCCCAAAAGGCGGTGAGGTGAGAATGTGAGCCCAGAACTACCTAAATCTCCATCTCTTCCAGATGATAGGAGAATACGGAAGATCATTGACATTTAAGACGGGTCAATCAGGCACTCATGCACATGGAGTCAGTAATGACAATAGAGTCCGGAGACTATTCCGTACTACCATTGTAATAGATTTGTATACCGTAGACCATTTTGGCTGATTCTTCCGCAGTGATGGGCTGCTATGACCTAATCTTACAGGGGTACTTGGTAGAGAATCCAGAGAAATCGCGATACTAGTACGTGCAGTAGGGTTTTGTAGCATATTGCGATGGCCAATCATCAAAATGTATTCAAATATCGAAGAGTACTGTGTACCTCCATATTGCAATGAATGGTATGTGGAAGCCTAGGATCATCATCCAAGAGGAGTCAGGGTTAGGCCTAGGATTCGATGATTAGTAAGGTAATCTAGCTTATGGGATGAACCCTTTTTTCTGGTTCGCCCATTGACAAGAGGAACCATTCCCAAGCTTCCGCTTATGATTATTATCGAGGCATTGAACATCTATTTCTGGTCCTTGGATAGGGATCAGCCCCACGAAGCATGCGCAATTGTTTTTGCCATCCTTCTGGCCTCGTGAAAGGCCACCTAAGCTTTACCACTCACAGCTCAAAATGCTTCCTTTTCAGGTTGAAATGATTCTGCCTTAGGGATTTCTAGACTTCTATGGAGTACGGCATTGGACGACTTACTCTACCAAGCAGCATCCATCAGCAGCCGCATCATCATCAGAGGCAACAGTATTCTGGAACAATTAGCATTTGTCTATCTGATCATGATAAATTCAACTTCAAATAGGCATCACCTTTGTAGTCTCAATATTCTTCATGATCTCTCTGTAGCTAAGGTATAAATACTTTGATAAGGGTATTAGTGGCGGTGGACAGCCTCCTATACGAAGCGGCACCGAACCCGACGACCCTTTTTGCCTCTTATCCAAACACCCAACATCATCATTGTCAAGGCGACTCATACTCATTCCACCTGTCTGGTTAAGGAATCAATATCATCATCGTCATAACAATACTCTTAGTAAAGAAACAGTACTAAGGTTGGGTGTTGCAGCTGGGACTACCTTACCTTAGCCTCTTGACTCTTCGCTTTTCTTTCCTTGGTAGCACACAAGTCCATCTCCTCCACCCCCGACCAATACCACTTACTTACAAAGTTACGGTTACCGCTAACCCAGCCAGCCAGCCAGCCCAGCTAGCTATCTATCTTCCTTTCTCTCGCTCTCACTCTCCTCTCTCTCTCCCTACTTCGAACTTCTCTCCCTCCTGCACAACAGCCTTTCCCAACTTACGTACTCAAACTCAACTTTCCATCCACCTCCCCTCTATCTCGTTTTCCCCCTCCATCGTCTATCTCTCTCCCTCTTCTTTAATTTTCTTTTTTTCTTCTCTGTAGTTTTCGTCTTAATCCTATTTCTGTCACCATGGAAGGTACGTTGTTTCTGACACCTCAACAGCTTTGCTTGGGTTCCCTGCCACCAAACAACCCCCCGTTCCACCCCCATCCCCCTCCYGCTCGCTTGCCTTACACCCACATAGCGAACAACAACTGACAATTGCATCGTTCCAATTTACAGAAGAAGTTGCTG